TGTGCTTAGTCTACTGTGTGGAGCTGCATACCTGGAGATTTATTTTTCACTTAAAATTTCCCCTTTGGACCAGGTTTGCTGGTCTGATAGAGCCTGGTGGAACCACTGAGACTATGGCCCCTAGCTGCCCGTCAGGTCTGGAATTGATTACAACCTAGGAAACCCTATGGGGGCAGTTCTGCTCTGTCATATGGGGTCGCTATAAGTTGGAATTGACTTGATGGTACTTAAAACAGCAACAACATATGAACCTGGGAGGAATGGGAAGGAATGTGTACTGACTTAAAAAAATGTCAGTTAAGGAAAAAAAAAAAGATTGAAAGAAAAAGTAGTACGTGCTTCAAGGGAATTAAAATTTTATGTTGAAGTCCCCTTTAATCTCACCTGCTAATGTAACCACTGTTAACAGTGTACCATATATTCTTCTAGATTTCTTTTATGCATTTACAAACATTTCTTTTTATTATCACTGAATCAATATCATAGATTGTAGTGTCTGTACTTTTGTTATCTTATTTCATCGTTTCTTTCTAAAGACAAAGACACTTTTTACAAGTCTCTCTCTTCTTTTTAACTTAATGTTTATGTCTATCTTTCTCATCACTATGTATCAGTCTTTCTCTTTTTTCTCTTTTAATTGTGATTTGGGTAAAAGTTTGCAGAGCAAATTCATTTTCTACTCAACAGTTAATATACGTTTTGTTTCATGACATTGATTGCAATCCCCGTAATGCAACAGCTTTCTTCCCACTTCCTCCCTGTGGTCACTTTTTTTCTGTGTTCTTTTCTCCTATGCATTCCTGCCCTCTGAGCTATCTTCCTGTACAAATGCTGCCCTTCTGATCTCCCATGGTGATTGTTCTAAGGTGTATACCTACCTGGTGTAATTGTTCACCTTATATACCTTTCTATTGTTTGGCTGTAAGCCAGGGGAGTAAGTTCAATTCCAGGCCCAAAGGGTGACTAGGGGCCATAGTTTTGGGGTTTTACCAGACTGGTAGCATAGTGGCTAAGACACTTGCCTGCTAACCAGGTGGTTGGCGGTTCAAACCCACCAGCCACTCCTCGGAAGGAAGGCTGCGCAATCCTACTTCCGTAGTGATACTGCCTCGGAAACCCAAGGAGGGGTCGCTATGAGTCGGGGCCGACTCGAGGGCACATAACAACAACAACAACAACAACAACATCAGACCAGTAAGCCTGGTCTTTTTTATGACTTTGAGTTTGATCCACATTTTTCTCCCATTCTATCTAGAATTTACTATTCTGATCCTTTTCAGAGTAGTTGACAGTGGTAGCCAGTCACTAGTTCTCATCTCAGGGTCATCATGTAGGCTGAGGTTCACATGGTCCACTAGTCCCTTGGACTAATAGTTTCCATGTGTCTTTGATTTTCTTCATTTTTCAAATTTTTTACTTAATGTTTATATCTATTTTTCACATCACTATGTATCAATCTTTCTCATTTTATTAAGGACTGCATAATATTTCATCATGTGGCAGTATAAGATTGAAACAGTTCCCTATAATGGAAATGTGGACTGTTTGCCATCATTAATAGTGTTACTATCATGAGTAGTATGGCATAGAATTTTATTGTGTATTTTATTTTACCTATAAGAGAATTTCTATAAGATAAATTTCTGAAAGTGAAATTATGGGATATGATAGGATATGATGATATGAACCTTGTGAACACTGGTTTTTATAAACCTAATAAATCTCTACTAATTGTAAAGATGAAAATAGAAGAGTGCCATGAGAAAGAAGTTTGCTGCCATAGCATCTTAATTGTTAGGATTTATCTACAAGAAACAGTTTAGTGCCCAGCTACCAATGCCAACTGCTTGGAAAGGGATTATAACTAGAGATCCTGGATAGAGTGGGAGGAAAAATGTGGAACAAAACTCAAAAACACAAAAATGACCAGAATTACTGGTTGGATAGAGACTGGTGGAACCCCTGAAGACTGTGACCCCAGGTTACCCTTTGGGCCTAGAAATGGACTTTCTTACATGGATTAGCTCTCAGCCCAACAGGAGAAAGACCTCCATACAGAACACCTACCCCAGGGCAATGCACCCACCTACTGTAGGGAGATGCACCCCTTAGATCAATCAGCCATGAGGCACCAGAGGGACAGCATTCACTTAGAAAGCTGGGCAGACAGGAATGCATAGATAAGAAGGGCACAGGGAGATGGTAGTCACAGGGAAGAGAGAGGAGAGTTTTTTATGTTTGGGGATGGTAATTGGGCTGTGAAATCAAATGTGCATGAACTATTGAATGTAAAACAAATTTGCTATGTAAATTTGTACCCAAAGCACAATAAACTAAACCAAACAAAACAGTTATGCAACTTGAAAAAAAAAAAAAAGAAAGAAATAGTTTAAATTTATAGTAGATTAAGCAAAGTTGAAGTTCATTTTTCTTCACACAAGATTCTGGCTAGGTTGTCCAGAGTAGTATGAAACTCCACAATCATCAGTGAGCCACGTTCCTTTTAGCTTGTTGCCTCACAATGTTTGGTCCCCAGTGGGGTAGTTAAGTTTTTGTGTTAACTCGGCTGGGCCTGGTTGAGTGGCTGGGCCGCTGGAGGTAGTCATTCCCCATGATAAGACTGGCAATCAAGTCCGTGGTGAGATCTATCACAAGAAGCTGAGTAGCTGCTTTAGGGATGTGGTCTGCTTCCTGTATATAAGAAGCAGCTTTGGGAATGGTCTCTAGCTTATGGCACACTTGAACCCTGCATGTAACCAAGTCGTTGTTCAGCAGCCTACCATGCTCTGCCGATCTTGGGGCTTTTAATGGACTCAAATTAATGGCCTGCCGTGTGGTTTGGTAATATCGGGTCTGTGCCTTGTTACTTGTCAACCTTGGGCTTGTCAGCCTTATCAGGCAGCATCTGAGTGAAGAAAAGCCTTCAGCTTCAGTGGGCTGGGAGCAGGAGGCAGAGCTGAAGCCCAAGGTTGAGGGGCTTTCACCCAGCTCTTAGAGCCTGGCACTTTGAACCTGGACTTAAAGCCTCCAAATTGTAAAAATAAACTCCTGTTTGTTAAGGCCATCCCATTTGTAGTATATTCCTGTCAGAGTGGTACCATGTAACCAAAACACCCAGCTTCAACCTGGTGCTCCAAGGTGGCTGCTTCAGCTCCAGCCATTACTTTTGCATTCAAGCAAGAAAGAAGAAATGGAATGATAAAGAATACTCTCTACCTTTAAAGAATACTTTCAGAACTACCTTTGAAGGCTTCCTAACTGTATCGTTCCACCATACCTATTTAATCTGTATGCTGAGCAAATAATCCAAGAAGCTGAACTGTGTGAAGAAAAACATGGCATCAGGATTAGAAGAAGACTCATTAACAACCTGCGATATGCAAATGACACAGCCTTTCTTGCTCAAAGTGAAGAGGACTTCAAACACTTACTGATAAAGATCAAAAACTACAGCCTTCATTGTGGATTATACCTCAACATAAAGAAAATAAAAATCTTCACAACTGGACCAATAAACAACATCATGATAAAGGCAGAAAAGATTGAAGCTGTCAAAGGTTTTATTTTACTTGGATCCATAATCAATGTCCATGGAAGCAGCTGTCAAGAAGTCAAATGTGTATTGGATTGAACAAAACTATTGCAGAAGACTTCTTTAAAGTATTAAAGATCAAAAATATCACTTTGAAGACTAAGGTGGATCTGACTCAAGCCATGGTCTTTTCATTACCCATAAGCATGTGACAGCTGAACAGTGAATAACGAAGACTGAAGAATAATTGAATTATGAAAAATGGTGTTGGCAAAGAATGTTGACTATATCACGGACTACCAGAGGAAATACATGAATCTGTCTTGGAAGAAGTGCAGCCAGAATGCTCCTGAGAAGCAAGGATGGTGAGACTTCATCTCTTGTACTTTGGTCATGTTATCAGAAGGGACCAGTCTCTGGATAAGAACATCATGCATAGTAAAGCAGTGGGTCAGCAAAAAAAAGGAAGACTCTCAGTGAAATGGATTGACACCATGGCTGCAACAATGGGCTGAAGCAGAGCAACGATTTTGAGAGTGAGGCAGGACTGGGCAGTGTTTTGTTCCGTTGTATATGGGGTCAGTATAAGTCAGAACTGACTTAGTGGCACCTAACAATAACAGCTGTAATTCAGAAGTGATTAGGTTTAGGGCCCACCCTACTTTGGTACTGCTGTTAACATAACAAAAGAAACACCTGTTTCTAAACAGGATCACTTCTACAGGTATAGGAGGCAGGGCTTCAGTTCATAGTTTTGGTAGACATAATTCAATCTGCAACACTCATACTGACATAAAAATATAAGTCCTGTTAATATTTACCTATCGATCCTAGTTTTACTCATTGAGGTAATTGAAAGCAGGTTTGATTTCTCTTCCCCAGGAGAACTATCATTCATTGGAGAACAGTAGTCATACATATCTCTTGATGCACCTTCAGTTCTACATAGTGCTTCTTTCATCATGAGGCCTTTCTTCCTGAGAAAACTCACTGCATCCTTAGCAAAAACAATGGTCAAATGAGAATTTACTAAGTGTTAAGTATTGTGCTAAGTGCTTGGTATACATAATCTAGTTTGATTCTTATTCCAGAGTATCCCAAGGGAAGACCCGTGCCTTACTCTAAACCTGCTTTTGTCTCTCTGGATGCAGGAAAGACCACCAGAGCTCTCCACCAGTGCAATACAGGGAACTACGGGCCCTGATTGAAGCCATGCTGAACCGGTGTGCAGATCTTTCTGTGATCCCAGTGAACAGGAGACCTCTGGTCAGTGCACTGTAGCCTGCTTCTTCCCGAAATCATGCTGTAATGTGGTTTTAGAAGGATAATTAAACATTTGACTGCTAACCAGAAGGCTGGCGGTTCAAACCTACCAGCCACTCCTCAGAAGGAAGATTGGGCAATCTACTTCCATAGTGATACCACCTCAGAAACTCAAGGAGGGGTCGCTATGAGTTGGATCCGACTCGATGGCAGTGAGTTTGGGTTTTTTTTTTTTTTTTGCTTTCATATGCCATTTTATAGCATATTCTCATGTGCACACATACATAATACAGTGTTACTTTTCCCAAATATAGAGCAATGGAGTCTTAAAGATTACTATCCCCATATTTATAGATGAGGAAACTGAGTCCCAGAGGGGTATATGATTTTTCTCCAAGGTCCAAAACTAGCAAGGACCTGAGCCCGGATAGTCAAATCCCAGGCTATCCAAGCAAGTATGATAAACATGCTCACCAGATAGATCATTTAAGGCTGGATCACTAGAATCATGGAATCTGACTAATGTCCAGTGTGTTATATTTTGTTGGTATTGAATGGTCCATGGACTTAAGATGTCAGAAACGATGTTGTCAGTGTGAATGCTGATATGTCCAAAGGACTAACTTTGGAAACTAAGTCCTTCATACATAATGTGATGGGAATTTTCTTGTTTTGGAGCAACAGATATGGGCAGTAACAACCATTTAGCCATATAGCATAGCATAGCATAGCATAACATAGCATATATCATATCATATCATATCATATCATATCATATCATGCCATTACCATATAATAGGCCAAGAGCCAGTCCTGTGGTTCACTGGAAAACAGGTTAACATCTCTCTCTACCATTTTTTTAAAGGATCAATTAAATGGCTAGATTTGCAAGGATCTAACCAAAATTCCCTGGAAAACATTAGGTGTCTGGGAGCATCAGACTCCAATGGGCAGGAAGAGGTTAGCTCTCTAAGCATAGTGGAAAACACAGCAGGTCCTTGACCAAAAGTTTCTTCTCTTTCCTCTCTCCTTTTCACCTTAGGGCCACACCTCCAGTAGAGATTCTGAGAAGGCCATTCTGAGAAGGGGGCAGTTCCTCCTGAGCACCCTGGAGGGATTTCGGAATGCCTGCAGGTGAGGGGCCTGGGTGGTCTTGGTGGTAGCCTGGAGGGTGGGAGTGACGGAGAACTCAAGACCAAGGATGAAGTTCCAGAAGCACCATCTAATTTCCTCTGCTCTGTCTGCCATAGAGAGAGAACCTTGGCTAGAAAACCAGAGTGAGGCCTGGGGCTAGGGACTGGGGTAGATGAGGTTTGAGAGCAGTAATTAGTGGATAGGAAATTTCTACTAAGATTCCCTCCCAGTAAAGCCTTTGCTAAGGGCAGTGGTGGGTCAGTGGTAACTTCTCATCTTCTGTGTGAGAGACCTGGGTTCGGTTCTGGCCAGTGTACTTCATGTGCAGTCATTGGAGGCTTGTGTATTGCTGTGATGGTGTCTTGGTTACCTAGTACCACTCTTGACAAGAATATACCACAATTAGAATGAATAGCTTGAACAAACAGGAGTTTATTCTCTTACAATTTTGGAGGCTTTAAGTGCAAGTTAAAAGTGCTAAACTCTAGGGGCTGGGTGAAAGTCCCTCAACCTTGGGCTTCATCTCTGCCTCCTGCTCCCGGCCAACTGAAGCTGGAGGCTTTTCTTTACTCAGACAGCTGCTGGCTGCTGAGGATGACAAGCCCAAGGTTGACAAGTAACAAGGCACAGTCCCAATGTTACCAAACCACATGGCAGGCCATCAATTCAAGTCTAGACGAGGTTCCAAGATCAGCAGGGCATGGCAGGCTGTTGAACAACAACTTGGCTACGTGCAGGGTTCAAGTGTGCCAGAAGGCTAGAGACCATTCCTAAAGCTGTTTCTTATAGACAGGAAGCAGACCACATCCCTAAAGCAGCTACTCAGCTGCTCCAGTAGATTCCACCATGGAGTTAATTACCAATCTCACCATGGGGAATAACTACTACGAGCTGCCCAGCCACTCAACCCAGGCCCAGACAAGGTGATGCACAAACTTAACTACCACAGATGCTTAATAATATATAAGCAGAGCTTTCAGAGTAAGACCAAGTGGGAATAAAGGCCTGGCAAGCCAATGAAAACCGTCTGAATCACAACAATCCAGTCCCAGTGGAAGAAGCTGCCATAAGTCAGGGGCCTGTTCCATGGTAGGTAGCAACAACAGCACAGTCCTTGCTCCTATATCATGAGGCTGTGTCTCACTCAACTGTGTTCACTGAGCCCCTAAGCTAACATGGTAGGTGTTCACTGAAGACTTTTTGAATTAATTCAATTCAGATAAACAAATGTTTATTGTAGGAGCTCTGATGGTGTAGTGCCTAAGGCATTTGACTCCTAACCAGAAGGCTGGTGGTTCAAACCCATCAGCCGCTCCTCGGAAGGAAGACTGGGCAATCTACTTCCATAGAGATACCACCTTGGAAACCCAAGGAGGGGTCGCTATGAGTTGGAACCAACTCAACGGCAGTGAGTTTGCTTTGGTTTTGGTTTTGTGTGAACCTGGTGCTAGACAGCAAGAGTGGAAAAAATCAGTAAGAATGACTCCTGCCCACAGGGAGCTCACGGTCACTTTGGGAAGAGACGGCTTTGTGTATCTATATGGAATTCATTAGAGTGTCAAGAGTTCAGGGAAGGCCTTCCACATAGAGGGAGCAGCATGTGCCATGGCAGAGATGTGAAGCAGCAAGCAGCTTGTGTTCAGGAAAGTATACAGAGTGTGGCTCAAGAGTCACATGTGATGGTGGAGAAGAGCAGCATGAGCCTGAAAAGGTGGCAGAGGACTGGGTCCTCTCCTTGTTGAGGTCCCTGACTTTTCTCTAGATCTGATGAGAACACCTCCCCTGGGCCCTGTCCTCAGGGTACCCCTAAGAGGGTGCTTGTGTGCTGCGTAAGTGTAGTGACATACTTGTATGTTCATTTCTCAGGCTGGCTGTGGAATTCCAGAGTGAACCCTCGGCCCAGGAGAATCCATTCACTGCTCCCAGCGCCGAAAAGGAAGACACCTTGCAGGACTTCTCAGAATTTCTCCTCAGTGTCTGTGACTCTCTGTGTGTTCCCATGGTGATGGTGGGTTCCCTTGTACCATGGACAGTATGAGCTTGGGGAAGAAAAGACTGAGGATGAGGCAGACTGAGAGGTGCAGGCCAGTGACTGCACAACTGTACCTAAGAACCTAAGGGTGTCATTCCTGTAGCCATCTTTCCTTTAGTTTTTATCTCTTGTAAGGTTGGTCTGGTTTTTACAAATTCCCTTAATTTCTGCTTATCTGGAAATCTCCTAATTTCACCATCATATTTGAGGGACAGTTTTGCTGAGTATGTAATTCTTGGTTGGAAATTTTTCTCTTTCAGGGTTTTATATACACCATGCCATTGCCTTCCTGCTTGCATGGTTTCTGCTGCGAAATCAGAGTTTATTCTTACTGGTTGTCCTTTGTAAATAACTTTTCGTTTTTCCCATGCTGCTTTCAGGATTCTTTGGTTTTGATGAGTTTGATGATGATATGTCTTGGTGATTTTCTTTTGGGGTCTATCCTGTTTGGGGTTCGTTGGACTTCCTGAATTGATATATTCTTATCTTTCATCATATCAGGGAAGTTCTCTTCCAACAAATCTTGGACAATTTTCTCAATGGTTTTATTTTTCTCTTCCTGTTCTGGAATTCCGATTACACATAGGTTATCCCTTTTGATGGTATCCCACATGAACCTTAGGCTTTCTTTGTTTTGTTTTGATATTTTTTTCTGATTGATCCCTTTCCAAAGATGTATTCAGGTATTTTTGTCTTCAATTGCACTAATTCTGTCTTCCATTGCATCAATTCTACTCCTTTGCCCTTTCAATGTGTTATCTATTTCTAAAAATTTAATATTAATCTTCTGGATTTATATCTGTAGATTTTGTATCATTTCTAATTTTTCCTTTATTTTGTCATTTTGTTCTTGCATTTTCATCTGAAATTGTTCTAGGGTTTTGTCTGTGTTTTCCTATATCTGTCTCTTAGTCCTTTGAAGACACCTAAATATAATTCTTTTGAATTCCTTATCAGGGAGTTCCAATGCTGCTGCTTCCTCAGGAATGTTTTTTGGGTCTGAATCCTGCTCCCTTGTTTCTACCACTTTATCTTGCTTCTTTGTGTGGACTGTGATGTTCTGTTGTCTCCAAGACATTGTGACATTGTTGTATTTAGATCTCTGTTAACAGTTGGTGAAGAACAGCTAAGGGTGAATCAGGCTCTTCTTGGTGGTTATTTATCGTTGGCCAGTTGGTGGAGAAGGAAGTGATGGCTCTCACTTAGTAAGTGAAGCTGCAGGAGGTGTGGTGTAGTTGTGTCATACGGAGATTGTTGCTGTCTCCCACTCAGACAAAAACAATTGAAAAACCATCAAAAAAAGTAAAAGCAAGCGAACAAAAAACACACTGCATAAACACACTGGAACAACCACCAAAAAAGAAAAAGAAAAAAACCCTGCAATATCTGGGGAGAAGGCAATAAGAGAAAAAAGGTAGAGTAGGAGATAATGAAGAAAAAATGGGAAGAATGCTAAAAGAAAAACAAGGAACGGGATTAACCTCAAGAAAGAAAAAAAAAAAAAAAGGGAACCAGGAACAGGGAAGAGAGAGAGAGCTGAAAACTAGAACCTGGGAAGGGAAGACTAAAGAATAATAGTAAAAAGAAAAAAAAAATTAGACAAAAACAAACAAACTAAAAAAAGGATTAAAAAAAAAAAGTCTGGGCAAGGTGGGGCAGGACACCCAGGCTCTATCAGAGCACACAGACTGGGCTGGAATTCCTGCTGGCCCAGAAGGTGGATGGGAGTGAGGGATGGCCGCACCTCTGTTCACCAAAAGGATGTGGAGTATAAGAGTAACAAGGGGAATATTGCATCTTTCCAGTCGTTGGCATCCGGAATGTCCTTGTGGTTCCCAGCAATTGGAGCCTATTTTTAAGTCCCTGGAATCTGGGTGAAGGCTATTGCTTAAAATATCCAAAATGGTTGAACTGCTTGTAAACACTCTAATGACTGCGCCCTCTCCGGACAGGCAAAAGCCCACAGCTCAGCCCATCTCCCTCTTTGCTAATTCCCATTTTATTCACCAGCCACCAGTGCAGTCCTCCATGCAGCCCCTGGCTAGCAGGCCCTATTTTTAGGTTAATTCTTAGGTCCTAACATCACTCATCAATTTTCAAGCTGTCTGTGCCATCAGGATCACTGCCAGACCACAGCTCCATGTCTCCTGTTTTGGTGTTTTCATGCAGGTTCTTCTACTAGTAAGAGTTTAGACCACTTCTGTATCCTTCTCTTCAAAGCTCAGGGCTCCAGGATTATCTTCTGTATCTGTGTTAATTGGTTCCCCTTTTCTTTGTTGAAGAGAATCTGTCCAATCTGTCTGCCTATTCCGCCATCTTACTGGAACTCCCTCCTTTAGTTTTTAATATAAAGTATAGTTTTTCATTATAAAACTAATAGATACTCCTTAAGAAGATGTAGAAAGCAGGAATAATAATTACATAGGTAATACTTATGGACTGATAAGGGCCTTGTATTCATTACCTGTTTAATACTCCCAATTAGATGGGTACTATAATTTATAGATGAAGAAACCAAAAGTCACAGAGGCTGACATCTTCTTAGCGTTATAGAGCAAGTGTATGGTGGTGCCAAGATTTACCTCATAATGAGCAGCAGTGATTGTCTGGGATGAAGCTTCACCAAGGCACACGTGTGTGTGCATGTGTATGTTCTGGAAGATGAGTGTGGCCATGTTGAAGAGATACCTGGTCAGGAAGAGCATTGCTTTGAGCTGACTTGGGATCAAGGTGGTAGGAAGAGCAGGGTTCAGAGCCATTGGCTCCCTGAGCAACCTTGCACAAGTCCTGTCTTGCTTGAGGACTGGACATCCTGTGGAGTCCCTTTTAGTTGGGGAACCAAACCCACTGCTATTGAGTCAATTCCAACTCATAGGGACCCTATATGACAGAGTAGAACTGCCCAGTAGGGTTTCCAAGGCTATAAATCTTTACAGAAGCAGACTGCCTCATCTTTCTTCCACAGAGTGGTTGGTGGGTTTGAACCACGACCTTTTGGTTAGCAGCTGAGCACTTAACCATTGTTGCACTAGAGCTCCTTTAGTTGGGGAAAGGCACCTCCTGGTGGCATAGTGCCTAAGGCATTTGACTGCTAACCAGAAGGCTGGTGGTTCAAACCTACCAGCCACTTCTCAGAAGGAAGATTGAGTGATCTACTTCCGTAGAGATACTGCCTTGGAAACCCAAGGAGGGGTCGCTGTGAGTCCATGGCAGTGAGTTTGTTTTTTGGTTAAATACCTACTGGGAACAGCAGATGGCAGCAGGGCTCTCTGGCTCTGGCAGTAGGTGCTGCATTTCCCGGAGAAGCTACAGAGCCCAA